CAGATGATACCATCTTGCCTGCTGAAAATGAAGACTTCAGACCCTAATGGAGATCACGGATTGCAGCCTTCAGTATGGGTTACAACTCAATGTAAAGGAAAGCAAAGTCCTCACAATCCCGCAAATAGGTTAAATACCATGGTAAGCAGGAAAAAATTGAAGTTGTGAAGGCTTTTGTCTTGCTTGAATCCACAATCAAAGCCCCTGGAAGCATCAGTCGAGGTCAAATGACACGTTACATTGGGTAAATCTTCAGAGACTTCTTTCGGGTGTTCAAAAGCAAGGCTCTTACACTGAGAACTGCGGTATCCCTCACCCGCCCGAGCCGGGGTGATTTCTGGTCACCTCATATGCATGTGAAAGTCGAGCATCGAATAAGCAAGACTGGTGAAACATCGATGCATTTGACTGTGGTGTTGATAAAGAACTGACAAAAGAACAAACAGATGGGTCCCAGAAAAGATACAGCCAAGAATGATCCTTAAAGGCAAGTATGGTGATACTTTGTCTCACATGCTTTGGACATCCTATCAGAAGAGACCATCCCCGGAGAAGGACATCGTGCTTGGTAAAGTGGAGGGGCAGCCCAAAAGAGAAGAACCCTCCAGAAGAGTAGATTGACACAGGGGCTGCCACACTGGCCTCAAACATGAACAGTTGTGAGTACGGTGTGGGGTTCTGTTGCACTCAGCCATGCGCCCAACAAGAACAACAGGCCGGATGGAGTGTTGGTGCCGGCCTAGGGACCACATCTGATCCCCTCTGACTTCGGGGAGCAGGACAGCCCAGCTCCCCACCAGCCCAAGGCCAGTTGCCATAGGGCGGAGATCAGACAGGCGTCCACTGCCCAGCCTCTCTCACCCTCTTTTACCAACCGTTCCTGCCACACAGCTCTCTTCCTCTGGTGGGTTTATTCATGTATCTGTGGTCCTCAGCCCCTCCCTTGGGGTCCCTTGGCCTCTGCCTCCCTGGGCTGGGAAGTCCAATTGCACTTCTGCCTCATGGTCTCCGGTGTCAGAGCTGGGCTCCGCTGCTCAAGTGCCTTTAGGCTTGGCACAGAGTCTCTCCCACTGCCTCTGTCAATGGAATGTTGATGGCTTTTCTTCCTTGGTGAGCCCAGGAATTGTCTTCCTGCTTCTGATAGGCCTCACTTACACCCACTAACCCCCTTTATTCGTGTTTCACACACCCTAATTACACGGTCCCACCCAATTCACTTTGGGGCGTTAGAGACATACATAGGTGAAAGAGCCATGCAGGGCACCTGCCTTTCTGCACCAGACAGTTAAACTGTTTCCAAACGTACGCGTCCCTCCACAGAGGTGTTTCCCGTGAGGTCAATGATCCCGGTCAGCAGTGTCGTTCCTTAAGACTGTGTGTCTTTCCTGAGGGTGTTTTCCATGGGAATGGGCTCCACCCCAAGTTGCTGCAAGTCTCAGTTGGGATTTCTCTTGGCAGCATGCCAGCTTGTTGATGTCTGGAGAAGCCATGGAAGTGGCACATGGGCAGTAGTGCTCTCAGGGTGCTCACAGGCTGTGCTGGGCCCACACAACACAGATGGGGTGCAGTCTCTTCTGCTCACAGGACAGCCTTGAGAAGCGTTGAGGTGTGAACTCTTCACTGCCCGTTGGTCAGAGACACTCCGGTGCTGAGACTTGCGTCCATAGCAGAGGCTGACCAACCATGGTTGCAGCTACTCTGTCCATCTTCATCTTGTTGAACATCATCCTCTTTCCCACAGCCCCTCTGCTTTACCAAGCATGATGTCCTTTCCAGGGACTGCTCTTTGCTGACAGCATGTTCCAGAGTACAGAAGACAAAGTCTCCCTACTCTTGCCTCCTGGGAACATTCTGGCTGTACTTTTCCAAGACAGATGTGTTTATTCTTTTGGCAGACCCTGGTACTTTTCATACTCTTCTCCAAGACCCTGTAATTCAAATGCATTGAATTGTCTTCGGTCTTTCTTAGTCAGTGTCCAGCCACCGCTTGTCTGTCCGTTTATTGTTGTGTGGTGGCTGTGTGTTGCTCTGATGCTGCAAACGTATGTCACGGTTTCACATAGCCAGCGTGGTCACCCAAAGTGAACAGGTTTCACCAGAGTTTGCAGACGATGGAGAAGGATGAGGCCGTCCACCTCAGAGGAATTAACCCCGGAAAGCTACTATCCCAATATTATAGAGTCGAAGGGAAATTTTAAGGGGCCCCAAGATGAGCTAGACTTGTTTTCTCCTTGTTGGTGGGAGAGATGATTGGCATCTGACCTGGAGCACACAGAGGCAGGCCCTTCTGTGACAGACTGTTGACATCGAGGACGTCCGCAGCCTGGCCCCGCTTACCTGCTGGGAACCAAGCAAGCCTCGTGGGGGCAGCTTGGGCTTTTCCTTCAGCTCTGGGGGCTGCCAGACTTGCGGTGTGGGCAGAGCAGCCCTGTGTTTATTTTTCCCATAGTGCCTACTGGGTTTTGGTGTGTGTCCCGCTGTGCTCAGGGATCAGGGAGGCGATTTACGTTCCTCTCATTACCAGCGACCTCTCAGACCAGTTATAGGATCAGAGGGCCATCTTTTTTAATAAAAAAAAAAAAAAAGAAAGAAAACGTTCCATGTACGGTGTTGAAAGGTGTGCTTAAGGTGCAGTGAGCCTTGGGATGCCCCAGCCAGAGTCGTGCAGACAGGAAGGAAGGAGGGCAGCTCCCCTTGGCCTCCCTCACTGGCTGTCTTCTCTGAGTCCCCACCAATGTGTGAAGAGTAGACTCTGCCTTGCAGGGCCTTGTTCTGAGGAGGGAGGAGTCCACAGAAGTCTTTCCTGGTCCCCCAGCGCCCAGGGCACCAGGCCCCCAGAGTTAGACTTCCCTACCCAGGAGTGCCAACAGGAAGCTCACCTTCAGCTCCTCTCTGTTGTGTGGTCAGTGCATCTGTTCTGCCTCTTTGGTTCTTCCACGTCTCCATGGAGAAGAATGTGTCTAGTGGACCTTTCTGGAAGCCAAGTGCAGAGACCTACTTCCTGAGGCCCATTTACCTCACCATGCTCCCAGGACATTGGATTGGTAGTTGTTAGAAATATGTCTTACAAAAATAATTCAAATCCCCACTGCTAATGCGCATTGTCGAGGCCTGTCCACCCTTTGTAAGTGGCCACAGCCAGGGACTAGGAATCTTGAGGTCAGAACGGTGATCGCACTGCCAGGCTGAGCCCTGGGCGATGTGTGGCCTCCTCAGTTCCTGCCCCATCGGCAGTGCTTGGCCAGGGACCCCTAGCATATCTGTAGCCCAGATGGCTTCTGTTCCTTTTCAGGACACCATTCACTCTCTTGTCCCCTCTGTCTTACTCACTAGCCAGACCCCAGCCCTGGTTAAAACCAGCTGTCAGCCTCTCCCAAGCCTCCATTCCAGCAACTGAACATCACCTCACCACATCCAAGACCCTGCACCTCCCATGGGGCCTCTGCACTCACGGGCCATCGCCCTCATCTCCAGATGTCCCTCACGGTGCCGCCGCCACCCCGGCCTCCTCATGGACTCACCTCGGGAACAGGGGCAAACCCTTCTCTACGTCAAACTCCACAGTCCCTTTGGGTCCTCCTCACCGTTTCTCTGTGATCCCTTTCGCTTTGAAACTGGTGAGAGGTCTGGACGGAAGCTTTCCTCACTTCCCGCCTCCCTGCAAGCCAGGGAAACCCGTCGTCTGTCCCTCCGTGTGAGTGAGGTCCATCTCACCACGTCCCACCAGTGGTCACTCGACTTAGCTCTGCTGCCTCGTTGAGCGGCGTAGCCTTTTCTCCTTTCCTGTGTGCACTTGGTTGGTGTGGGTACCACCCAATGCCTGGGCTTCGGATCAGCACCTCACACTGGGCATGCTCAATACACTCCTGGAATTCTCCTTCACCTCGCCCACCTGCACCCTGCGCCACCCAGCTTCTGACAGTTCCCTCTGGTGGTAATTCTCACCTCAGACCCCGTGTGTCCTGCCTCCTGGACTCCCCAGGGCCCCCGTGACCTCACGCCCCTCACGTGTCTTACCTGCTGGACTCCTCAGCCTCCCCCCCCCACCCCTTATTTCTCATCTTCTCCCCATGGTCTCCTCCTGCACCTCTGGTGCTCCTTGCCGATAGCAGGGCTGGGTACCTGCTGCCAGGGAGTTCTTCCCTCGCTGCCCAAGTGTGCAGGAGTGGCTGTCTTCCTTTCTTACATAAATACAGGTGTTCGTGGTGATTCAATGGGAAATTCAAACTAGCAAAAGAGGACAAAAGGTCACCTTGTATTCCCAGGACCCCGGGAACTGTGGTGGGCTAAGCACCCCCTTGGCCTTGCCTGTCACCGGTGCTCCCGGGCACCGGTGTCTACAGAGCAGTCATGTCAGATCCCCTGCTCCTTGTACAGGACCTGTGCTGCACAGACACACAGACTGCCTCCTCATTGCTTCTCATGGAACAGTGGGCTTCATACTTCAAGGTCAATACGTGAGTCCTACAAAGCATTTTGTCGGGCTGCATCCCGCACTGGGTAGATGGACCTTAATTTACATAACCAGTGCAGTGTTAGCGTGAGCAGCCCTGCCAGTGAGCCTCGCTGCCATGGGATCTTTGTCTGTGTCTCTCCTCCCAGTTCTAAAGAACACTGTGCTGCATCAGGGGGGTTCTGTGCTAAGTTGGTTTGTTTTTATTTTTGTGGCTGAATTGATTGCCCTTCATAGAGGATTGTCTCGATCATGTCAGCACTCCACCTTTGCCCACTCCGGGTCAGGGACGCAGATGGAACCTGTTCTTCAGAGCAGGCTGCGGCTTGACCTCATGAGCAGGTCCTGGCCTCGGCTCACAGGTTCACAGATGCCTTTTGAAAAGGGGCTCACTCGTGACTCCGCATGTCGCTCCCTGACTAGGCTGCCGTGTGCGTAGCATGAAGCAGATGGGAGAGAAATCTTAGATGACTACAGTGTCAGGGATAGCTGGGGTGTTTGCCTCTTGTTGCTGACCCTGGGAAATGTCCCTTCATTTTCTCTTCAGGCCAGAACGCTCCGGAAACTGATCCAGCAAACGTTTAGACAATTTGCCAACCTGAACAGAGAAGAGAGTATTCTGAAATTCTTTGAGATCCTCTCCCCGGTGTACAGATTCGACAAGGAATGCTTCAAGTGTGCCCTTGGTGTGAGTGCGGGACCCGGGGGAGAGTGGAGCAGCAGGACGTCTTGTGCCTTCACAGTTGCATGTACATTTCTACAGAAAAGCACGTGTGTCAGGGTTCTAGCAACATGAATCCCTGCTGCTGTTTTGTGGTGGGGAGACAAGTAGAACCCAAACCTGCCAATGTGAGGCTTGACTCCTCTGTGTCGTGTGCCTTGTTCATAAGGGAGTTCTGCTCCGTCCCACTGGAGGGCTTCTCTTTGCTGCCTGTTCGCTGTGGGCTCACGTGCTCCTGCAGTAGTCTTACCCAGAAGCCACACTGCAGTCGGCACAGCGCACCTACGTCTGGGCTCATCCGGTCCTGAGCCCAGCCCCTCGGTTCCCCCTGCAGCCACGCCCTGTAGCTAAAATACCTCTTTTGTCCCCTTCTGTGCTGCCTCCTGAAAAGTCAAGCTGGGTCATCTCGGTGGAGCTGGCCATCGGCCCGGAGGACGGCATCAGTTACCTGACGGACAAGGGCTGCAATGTAAGTGCCTCTGTGGGCCATTCGCCCCTCTGACGCCGGCCCACTCTGGGGGCTGGAACCTGGCCATGGTGCAGCATGCCGAGGAGAGAGCTGAAGTGTCCCCGGCCCCCGGGGGCCTCCGTAGAGCGCCCCTCCTCCTGGAAGGAGTGAGCAGCACACTCACCCCGCGGGCTGGGCGGCTGTGCGGTCTGAATGGGTTGTCAGAGCTGACCTGGAGAAAGGAGGAATCCCACTTCTCAGCCAAGTTCTTTGTTTGGAGAAAACGAGGGACTCATCCCATGATATAGAGACCTTTGTCACAACCCGCGTGGGGGAGTTGCCTGTGGGTCGGCGGAGGGGGCGGGGCCGTGAAGACTAGGTAGTTCACAGAGCAGACTCGTCCTGTCCACAGCCTACACACCTGGCCGACTTTACCCAAGTGCAGACCATCCAGTATTCCAACAGCGAGGACAAGGACCGGAAAGGAATGCTGCAGCTGAAGATCGCAGGTGCCCCCGAGGTATGTGCCACGCCCACCTGGAAGGAAAGGGCGAGTGTGTTGTAGAGGCCTTTCTAGAAGATGATGATCTGGTGTCCTCAGTGGGAGACGCACCTGGTGTGGTGCGGCTGTGGTGAGTGACCAAGGACACCCACTGCCTCTGGGATCTCCGGTCGGGTCCCTTCCTGCTGCCACCTGCACACAGGACGTTTTAGGCATGAGTCACAGCAGTGGGGACCACAGGGCACCGGGAATGGGCCTGTCGCTCTTCCCGCCCTTTGATCTGTTCCATCTTAGAGAGAAGAAACCAAGGCCCCAGGAGGCTGACCCCGCTGCAGGAAGGGAGTAAACAGTTCCAAGAAATTGGGATGTATCTGTGCTTGGAAAATAATAGCATGTAGAGAGAGGCCTTCAGAAAGTTCAGCAGGACCGAACATGTCACATATCAAGAAGAGGTGTAGCCAGTCCCCTCTGGAGCAAAAAGGAAAACGGAATTCTGCTCGATTTCATTCATATACATAATTATGGTGGCCCCTTGATGAAAATGCCCTTCAGATTAGTCAGTTTCCCAAGCAAGCGTACTCTGACTTCCTGGTTCCCTCAGCCTATCTCCTTTGTTAGAGCACCAGAAGGCCAGGCATCCGGAAGGGAGAGATTCCCCCCACCCCCACACTCACACACACAAACACACACCCCCCTTTGTGTTCTAGAAAGTGCACCTCACATTAAGGCCTGGGATTGCTTTCACCTGCTCTTGCCTGCTGCCACGAGGGTTCTGGGAGTCCTGCCCTTGAAGATGAGACTTTCCCTAGGATGGGTGACAGGAGCACTTCCCTCCACCCCACCCGCCCGCCCGCCCGCCCCTCGCAGAGAGGCTGAGGTCAGCACACAGCTGTGCTTTTGGCGATGAGGAAGAACAATGATGTCTCTCTTGTCGGTCTCTCTCTGTTCAGCCTCTGACAGTGACGGCCCCATCCTTAACCATTGCAGAGAACATGGCCGACTTGATCGACGGCTACTGCCGGCTGGTGAACGGAGCCACCCAGTCTTTCATCATCAGACCCCAGAAAGGTGAGGTGCAGGCATGCAGACTCTGAGCTCCCCTGGGTGCTCTGGGCCCCTGGTGAACTCGCCACTCCTGACCCAGGCCGGGCACGCAAGGAAAATGCCCTTGGTGCTCTGCGTCCGTTTCTCAGGGCCCACCAGTGTTTTCTGGTGAACTCTGGCTAGTTCAATTCGTGTTTCTTTTTAAAGCCCCTTATAACTTGCATTAAAGTGTGATTACACTTTTCTCTCATATAATTACCAAAGCTCAAAATAGTGGAAGAGCAAAATAAATGTCAGCTCGTGTGAAGCAGAAGGCAGGATGAAACCAGGTGGTCTCGACCAGAAATCGGGGGCAGGTTTGCAGGACAGAGGGTTGTGACGGTAGGTTCAGGTGTGATCAAAGACACACGTCCCAGGAGAATCACAGCATTGAGGCAGAATTAGCCTCTGGAATCATCTCTGGCTCGTGGGCTCACGTCCCCAGGAGATGGCGGGGTCTGGGAGGATAAGTTAAAATGAAGGTGCTTTAAAAAAACTATATATGGATGTGTGTGTGTGTTAAAATGGAATTGGAAGCTAATGGAATTTTTTCATGAATCATTTGAAGGCCCTGCCCTGGTGTTTGTAGTCAGCACCCTGTCACTGGGTGTTATCAGCTGGCTGAGATCCCTCCTGGCTGACAGTGATACCAAGGTAGAGAATCCAGGCTCGGTAGAGTGTATCCAGGAGAAAGGTATAGAGACCACAGAAACCGTTGAGGAAGGGGTGTGGCCACTTACACCCACCAGCTGTTCGCTCTGGTAAAAGTGGCCACCTTGGGAACCCCGTGGAGTGGGTCTGTGCTGTCCTGTAGGGTCGCTAGGAGCTTTTTAAAATAAAAAACCGTTATAAAAGCCCCAAACCAAAAGGCCACTGAGTGAAAGCTATGATGGTATGATTGAAGGACATGACTAATGTGGCAAGTGGTTCTTTCCACTGTGATCATACCTATAAACACTAGTAAGCTTTTTCTGGAATACAGTGTGTATTTATCATAGGTAGTTGGGTGTGGAATACAGTAATAAAGCTGATTTCAGAAACCACTGACGGGGCCCTCCCTGGAAGCTTTTTCCTGGGCGCGTTCAGTTTATGCACTAACCCTCGAAAGCACCCAGATGAGCAGGGGAGGGATTCCTTCACGTGGAGCTGGTGCTTTGGAGACTGGAAAGTGTCGCTGAGGATGTAGAGATGGTCATTTCTGTGCACCTATGGAGGGCCTCTCCCAGCCTCACACGGTGCCCAGGCCCTGCTGTAGACAGTCTGCACACACCCTCCCGTATGCTGTCCCTAGACGACTTGTAATACCTCCCACGTGCCTGCGTGGCCAGTCAGTGCTTCTCCCGCGGGTCCTATTCATCTTTGGACAGCTGACTCTGGGATGCTGAATCGCATTCTCCTGTCTTAGGAAATACTGAGTTCATCTCCCAAAGCCCTTTCTCATGTCAGCCAGAAGAAAGAGTGTTCCGAAGTCCAGCGTTAAGGGAGCTCTAAAGTTTTCCTGCCTAGATACTCACTGCACCAGGGGAGCTGTGTCCGTGTCCAGTTGCTCCAGCTTCACTGTCGCGGGAGATGAGCTCGAGGAGAGCACGCAGCATAAAAAGAGTGGCATGTGGGGGGACCCCAACTGTCCACTGTCCCATGGAGGAAAGGGAGGGAGCCTTGTTGGTGCAGCGGCCACGAGTTACCAAGCTCCCAGTTTCTCTACAGGAGAAACGTGACTGTCCTCGCCTGTAGAGGTTGACAGCCTCTCAGAGTCTCTAGGGAGCCACTGTACCTTGTCCCGCAGTGAGTCTGATGGACTCTCCAGCAGGGTCCTTTGGGTTTTGAATGAATTATTAAGCTTGAAGATGTATTTACCTTATTCGAGTGTGGAAGGCATTTCCCTGCGTCTAGTGGAGCACGTGTCTTAACTCAGTCATGCATCTGCGTCCCGGATGGTGAGCTGTGCCGTGGTGGACAGCATGTCTCGGCCCTGCTGAGGGCGTAACATAGCCTGGCCGTGCTGTCGCTGTTGCCCAGATGCTCTCTGCTCATTTGCTGCTCGGGCACAGAGACCACCTATCGGGGGACCCTCCCAGGTGCCACAGGCCAGGTGTCTTCGACCGAGCCCCACCACAGAGTGGACGCACAGCCTTGGCTCTCGGCTCTGGCTTGTTACTGAGCCCAGGCCTCAGTGCAGGGAGCAGGTTTGCAGTGATGGAAGTCCCTCCGGTAAGAAGCGAGGCAGCTTCACATCAGAGGCCAGAGTGCTGCCGTGAGGCGGAAGCCTTCCCCACTTCAGTGAGGGGGTCCCGTGGGCGGGAGAGGTGCTCCAGGGCAGAGTTCCCAAACGGGTGGGCATGGAGGGGAAATGTGCTGTCACATAGGTTAAAGAGTTCAGATCTATCTGTTGGCCAAGGCTCCCTCAGCTCACTAAGGACAAGACAGCCCGATTCCAAAGGGGTGCTTCCCTGCGGTGACCAGTAGCCAGGTGGCCCAGCAGTGAGAGAGGCCATTTTTCACCTTTGGGCTAGGGGACAGTGCTGATGGCCCTCTCGTCCCCTCGGCGCGATGGGGATTGCACTCTCGTGCTTTGTTCACTGCAGGAGGGATGTCTTCAGAGGACAATTTAGCAGCAGTTCCCTACCCTCAGACCCCGTCTTCTGCCTTCTACAAATCAAGTCTAATTTATGTGTTGAGCCATTGGTCCCAGAATGTTCACTTTAACACTGTTTATAACCGTAACAACTAGACGGCCTGTCAGCCATCACAGATGGGAATGCTGGGCCACACATCTGTGCTCTGGCACTCCACACAGTCCAATTCTGACGCATAGCACCCCGACCAAGCCGCCTAGAACCACCACGTGGGTCCCCGAGTGTGTACACCTTCACAGAAGCAGACTCCTTCCCCTGCTCCCCTCAGAAAGGCTTGTGGTTTCAGGCTATCCCATGTGTCCCCCTCTATGCCACCAGGTTGGTAATACTAGGCACCTATTAAAAAGTAACTGGCACACCTTTCTTTCGGGGGAAATGGACATTTCAGTAACGTGCAAATAGATCACACTCACGGGCCAGTTGAAGGAGCGTGTTGCTCACGGACAGTGTTGGAGGGCAGAGGTGGGTCCAGTGTTCAGAGGGGAGCAAACACAGCTGACTTCTCTGTCAGTCTAAACTTGGTCTTTCTGGTGTAACCTGGCGGTTCATTGACTCATGCCTCGGACACCCAGGACTCCACCTGGCGCTGGGTGCCTTGGGCTCAGAGTCTTAACCCTCATGGGACCTGGCCACCAGGGCAATGCCCTGTCAGTGTAGCATAGGCTGGGCGAGCAGGCCCACAGTTACGTTCCCTGGAGGGGAAAGGGTGCTGGCCAGGGGTTGGTGGGAGCACACCCGAGGCACAAGGACACTGCATGGGAGAGTGAGGGGCTGCGGGATGCGGGGAAAGCTGCGGGGAGGTCCTGCCAAAGTGGGCGGGGGTTGCCTGTGTGAGGCACTGGCAACAAGTCAGTCTCACATGGAGAAGGGAGGTGTCCCGCCTCTGGCTCCCTCCTTGACTTCCCCCGAAGATGGGGTTGGGTTAGGGTGCAGTGCTTTACTTGTGTCCTCAGAGCCGTTGAGAGCCACTGAAAACATGAGCAGAATGACGTGGAGACTAGGGAGGGAAGAGTATTCTGGCAGCACTGTGGTTTGGGGACGGAGTCAGAGGGTCACTTAGAGGCTGTTAGCATATCCCAGAGACTGCTATGTAACAGAGACTCACCGCTCTCTCTCATTTCCCTTCCAGAAGGCGAGCGGGCTCTGCCATCGATACCAAAGTAAGTGCCGCATGTGCCCCTGGGAGTCTCGAGAAGGCAGAGTGTGCGTGGGGATAGATACACAGCTGTCCCTGCTGTCGGATAAGCAGCTGTCCCTGCAGGGTGACAGACCACCGTGTGCTCATTGAGAAGCACTAGGAGAGCTGGGAGGTCCCGGAAGAGAAATAACTAACCCAAGAGGCCATTGGGGTGAATAGGGTAAAACTTGGGCAGCGGGTGTCAGCCCACAATCCTGCCTGCCTCCTCAGAGTGCTCCAGACTTGGCCACTGCCCTACGTGGCCTTGGCCACTTCCAGTGCCTGCCTGGGTCAGTTCAGTGGACTGACTCCTGTGTCGGGGTCCCCAACCACTCCCAGGTGGGTTATCCTTGGGGATTCCCAGGACGCTCGTCACGCCTGTGGCCGTGGTCTCCTGCAACAGAGGGCTATTTGTGCTGTCCACGTAGGGAAAACGCAGCTGAGACTAAACAGAACAGGACAGGCTCAGTCCCGCCCCAGAGGGCCACACAGCATGCGCACGGGCCCCCAGGGTCCAGGACAGGGAAGCCTCTCTGGTGAGTCTCAGGGCAAGGCCGTGTGGTAGGCCAAACCAGGGTGGCCTCATTCAGTGGGGCTCACAGTGGTTGGGTGGCAACTGAGAGAAGCTCTCAGCTTGGGCAGCCTTTCTGCACTGCAGACATTGACTCAGGGCCACCATCAGAACTAAACCTTAGGGTGTCTTCAGTTCTGGACTGTCTCTGAAGAACGAGACAGGAACCCAGGTGGGGTGTGGGAAGAGGCTGTCGGTCAGATGTGGACATCAGCGGTGGAAAGCAGAGCGAGCAGACTTGGGAGAGCGGTGTGTCTACGCCAATGCAGTCAGGGGACAGTGCTGGCCTGTGACATGGCTTGCTGATGACAGGTCCACTGTGGAAGGGCTTCTCAGGAGTTCCTGGATGGTACAAGGGGTCCAGCAGTGACTGGCAGGCTTCCAAAAGGTCGTGGGACAGTTGTCTGCACCCCTGGGAATCCAGGAGGGCGGCTTCCCAGTAGATGAAGACAGGTCAGCTGTGTGGCTGTGGTGCAAGGAAAGAAAGATGTTTCAAGAACAGACTCTTTATAAAATTCAGTGGAAGGAGCCTCCCTGACTTGATGCCAGTATTTGAAGCCCCTGTTTGCCTGGGGGAGCGTCTGCAGTGTGTGCATGTGGGTCTGGAGAGAAGCCTTCTGTTTAACGGACACAGCAGCGTCAACATCGGAAGCCTGCAGGCTCCTCTCTCTGTTTCCTTCTTGGCTAAAATGTGAACCTAAATTCTGCATGCATTTCCTAAATTCACCCAAATCTCGATTGGCCTTTCGTTTTATCTGGGTAGATACGTAGATCATAGCTCTGGGGGTAGGTGTGTTTCTATTTTATAGTTTCCTGTCTCACAACTTTTGGGAAAGCATTTTCCTTTGGGAAAACCACTTGATGTTGCTATCGCTTTCCCTTGCATATCACGTGAGAGGCACTGGGCGTGAACGTGTGTGCTTCATGCGAGCACTCAGCCGAGTTCACTTGCCACGTGTGGGCCTCGTGCGATGTGCTTACCAGCACCCAGGCTTTTACTTGTCCACATTCACTCCTGGTCCTTGAAACGCTGCGGCAGTCGACTATTTCACCCTCGGCCTCCTTGGTCAGAGCAGTAGTCTGTCTCGGAATTTGCTGGGGGCTGGGCCAGGCTGGGCGGCACTCATGTGGTGACTCCTCTGTTACAGGCTCGCCAACAGCGAGAAGCAGGGCATGCGCACCCACGCTGTCTCCGTGTCAGGTAAGAGGGAGCCTGTCTGTGCTTTCCTTCAGCAGTGGCCTCCATCCTAGACCAGTTCCTGAGGGCCCATCTGCCATCGCTGAGTTCTTTTAAATTCCGTTCATCGACTTTACTTTTTGCATGAACATGACATACTTACATCAGGTGATCATTCACCAGATCGTAGAGGGTCCTGAGTCCGTTTTCTGCTTTAATGTCAACGCTCATCACATCGAAAATGAGTTATGTTGAAACTGCTGTTACAATTTATCTGTGTAATTCAGCGTATACTTTGACTTTTGTAAAGTTGACCAAATGTGACTTCTTTTTAACCTTTTTAAAATATAATGAACATAAAATTGTGTTTGAGTGTTGCTTTTTGAAAAATAAATTTAAGATGCCGGAAAAAAGCATTATCTTAACTCTTGGCTGCGGTAGTGACTGTTGCCTTTTTCCTGATATGGTTTCAAAGTTATGCATCTTTTTCCCCCACCAGTTAGAACATGTGGAAAGAAGGTGGGGTCGGAAACAGCATCTCCTGTCAACCCATTTCGCTATCTTAGAGTATATAGGAAAGATGTGTACAAGGGATAACCCATTGTGTTTGTCTGCACTAAGATTTCAAAGTGTGTATACACACACACACACATCTACAAGGATGCTCCATGGAGTTCATGGAAAAATGGAATGGAATTTTTCCATGAACATTATAAAGCTCCATCGTGTCTGTATACACGTGGATATAACCCGTCGTATTTTATGTATTTTACATGTGAGCATATATGTTACATTTTAAAAACAATAGCTTCTTCATAACTTCTGTCAGGTAATCTCGCAGCCTTGCTTAGAGAAAGCCTAGTCCCAATCTTTCCAATGAGCTTTGAGTCAGTTTTTCCTGAGATTTAGTTTTGTGCTTTTGCCTAATTGATGATGGGTTCTTTGGGGTCTTTAGAGCACTAAAGTAAAGTGCAATTGTTCGTGCGTCTATTTTATCGTGCATAAGCACCCTAGAAGCCCTTTCCTGTGGAATAGCCATGTGTGAACACTTGGAGGTCAGAAGTCTGGCGACCGGGGCTCCCAGTTCATGCGTGCACAGGTCTGTTGGAAACACAATGTGTTGAAACTTGATTCTGCCATCAGAGGGTGGCTGCAGACACGTTCTCCCAATAAGACATTTGTCTTAGCCTTACAAGTTAAGGTGCTTCCAAAACAGTCCAATCTAAACAGTCGCTCCTGGGGGATCTGCTACATTGGCTTAAAAGATTATAGTGACTTTTTTTGGTATTCCAAAGGGGTAGTTTTGATGCATTGTTTTTCCCAAAGAATTCAAGAGAGGTGAAGAAGTTGTAAAACAAACTGAAGACGGCGTGGGTGAGAAAATGCTAGAGTTGCCTTGTGGGTCATTCTTCTCATTGTGACAGTGCAGCTGCCTGACCTCCAAAGGTCGCACCAGTCGTCCTGTGAGAAAGCCGTCCACAGCCAGATCTCGCCCCTTACAACTCCCCTTTGCTCCCAAAACAACAACAGTAACAACACTGAAGAGAGAACATGATTGCAGGCCTTCAAAGACTGCCACTGGGGCACGGTGCACACTGAAGAGCACAGGCTCGTTTGGGGAAGGGCCAGAGCAGCGGTTCTCCCTCCTCAGGCAGCGACCCTTCATGCAGTTCTTCATGCAGAAAACCATGACATGATTTTCGTTGCTACTTCAGAACTGTAATTTTGCTACTGTTGTGAGTCTGGCGACCCCTGTGAAAGGTTTGTTCGACCCCCAAAGGGGTCACGACCTACAGGTGGAGAACTGCTGGACTAGGGAAATGGAGAACCACCCTCTTCAGAAGTGTAAAGACCTAGGGTCCCAATGCAGTCCGCTTCATTTGGGGCAATTTCTAATTTCTTTTAGATTCATACTGAGTACATTCCATGTTCTGATTACTAATGGATGCTTGCAGCTGTTTCTTTTCATTTTGAATCATCCTACATCGTTGTGGTTGACTCTGCTTTCAGGAGGCAGCTCTTCCTCAGTCGTATGTTGAGTGCCTTCCAACCCCACTGGTTCATCTTCCAGCACTAAATCTGATGATATCCCACTGCTGTTCACCAACTTTCCAGTGGTTAATCCCTCAGCAGTAGACAGTCCGTGCTTCTCCGTAGTCTGTTCTTAGTCTGGAAGCTCCACTGCAACCGTTTACTTTGGGTGACCCTGCTGGTATTTGAAATACTGGTGACATACCTCGCATCAGCCACAGGCAAGCCACCGCAGTACAACACACTGACAGATGAGCGGTGGTCTTTCTTCCTCGTTGTCTCTTTAACTGGAAGTTCAAGCTCTAATCCCTTTCTTTGCAGCCACATGACTTTTAGGTCATCAAGTCTCTCGATTCAGAATGTGCAGAAAATTTGATAATTAGAAGTTAGCCTCTTGAGCTCAGCCCTCAAAATCCTTCAGTGTCTGACCACCTCCTATTCTGCCTCCTCCCCCTCTGCCAGTGTTTTTTGGTCAAAAAAAGTTGCTGGTTAGGCCCCTCTGCCTTCTTACCCTGTCTTTGGTTCAGGCCAGCCCCTCGGCCCACATTCTTTCTCGGCTATGTGTTCTTCCGCCGCCGGTCGTTGACTCTGCTGTGCTTTCACACGTGACTGTCACGAGGGCCAGTTACAGATGCAGCAAAGCAGTTGGCCAGCTTCCAGTGGCTGCCCTGTGATGGTCCCTCTGACTCCCTGTGGTGGAGCTGGGCCATCAAGTGTGGCTGTTCCCATGTGCCACAGACGTTCAGCTGTCGCTTCTTCCCAACCTAGCTGCCACAGTCTGTGCAGCACACTTCACTCCTGTGCTGCGCTTTCACGCTCCTGGGAGAGCCTTTGTCCCGCTGGATCTGTTACTGAATGCTGAGGTCATTTCTATACCCGAACCTAGAGATTACGGATCCAAATAGAAGGACACCCTTCACAACGTGTGTCTTTTCTCTGTTTATTATGATGTTCAGCGGTCTAGGTGTGAGGATCTGTTTACCTTGATCTGCAGTCCACACTGAAGGCTTTGGGACCTGAGCTTCATCCACACCTCATGTTCCCTGTACTGTTAGCCAGCCAAGGCTGCGTCATCGGTCTATCACAGGTGGCAACGAGCCTTCTTCCAGTCCCGATGCTGCATTCTGCTTCGTGTGGCCTACCTTCTTCAGAGTCTTTGTTCAGCATACAGATTGAATGAGGATGGTGAAGGAGTACTAGCGTGACACCCACCATTGTTGATTGTAAATGAGGCAGTAACCCCAGGTCATTTCCAGTGACTGCCTCCTGGTCCATGCACAGGCTCCACATGAGCTTAGTGACTGAGCCCTGGAATGTCCATTCCTGTCAGTGCTATCCAGTTGAATGCCTCTGCGTAGTCATTAATATGAAGTAAGCATCTTTCTGCTTTCAGCTCAGATCTGTCTGATGCCAGCATGATGTGCCTCCTTTCTCTTCTCTTCTGAATCCAGCATTAGTTTCTAGCATTTTTCTGTCAGTGTACTGCTACAACAATGGTTTTTTAATGACCTTCAGCAAAGTTTCACTTACATGTGATATTAATGATACTTGTTCACGAATCCCTACATTTCGCTGGGCCATCTTTCTCTAGAATGGACCTCTTCCAATTGGTTGCCTGGTAGCTTTCTTTCAAATTTCTTGATGCAGATGAGCGAGTGCTTCCAGTGCTTCGTCAACTTGTTGAAACATCTCGTTACGATGTCCTGCCAGTTTCACTGATGCCGTCAGTGCGGTTTGGACTGCTGCCTTCGGTATCATTGGTTCTGGGTACATGCTACCTCTTGAAATGGTTAGCGCGGACCAGTTCTTTTTGGTCCCGTTTACCCCATGTACTTCTTTGGGGTGTGGTCAGTTAAATGGCCCTCTGAGCCACGGAAGTCCCTTCTGCAGTGTATTACCAAGTCTAGTTTCTGTGCCTGTGGTGAGAGTCGCATTTTGGAGGAACTTTTCTTTTCCAGGATTAAAGGGCTGCATCCTGAGTCTCCACTGGAGTAGAGGGTGTGAAGCAGGTCCTCATCGCCCCTTGGGGAAATCGTCTGGTAGAAGACAAACCACATTTCTATCAAAGGCAGGCCTCAGAGTAGAAGAGCTGTCTCGGAGGCAGGAACTCACCGAGAACTTCCAGGATCATCCGCAGGGGCGTCTGCCTCTGTTCCCTCATCTGAAGTGCAGAGTCCAAGACCAGAGGCTGTGCCACTTGGACCATGGGACAGAGCAGCAGAGTCAGGCCAAGACCAGGAGCCGAGGCAAGAGAACCATGAGAGAGACCAGGAGACTGAAGCAGAGCATCGGCTGGCTTCCCCGCCCCCCAGGCAGAGGACAAGGGTCCACGTGGTCCGGAGGCAGGGCACTGAAGGGAGACTTGGCTGTTGAAGGAGAAGTGTCGCTGTGGACCATGACCGCATTCTCTTTGTCTACGGATCCTAACCTGATAACCCCCTAGGATCGTGACTATTGTGTGCGAGTTGTGTATGATCATGCCCCACACAGGAGTAGAGTGCTGTGAGAGGAGCGGTTGTGTTGGAATCAGCATAGGTCAGGATGGACGGACAGATGGAGCGTGGAGGTGCATCTGACCTCTGCCTCGTGGCAGCAGGAAAGCCAGATGGGGCCTCTGCCACGGGCGCTCCTCATTCCACCACCGGCCGTACTTCCTGCCTCGTCCCATAGTGTGCCCCTGCATCTCTGCCTGCAGCCCCGTCAGCCCAGGGGATGCTGAGCCTGCGCTCCTCCCTGGGGTACATCTCCTCAAAGTGCTGTGCTGTCTTCTTGAGCCGCTCCAAGTCATCGTTTCTTTCCTTTGTTTTAGCTGCTCGGTGTTCCAGAGCAGGTGTCAGTCGACTGACATCCGTTCTCCTCGTTTCTTTCCGGCCTCTTTCTTGAACGTTGCTTTCTTCGTGTGTGGTGTTCTTCATGTCACTCACATTCGGTGTGTCAGACTGGTTCTTGAAAACCAGGTGAGAGAGGCTCATGGTTGTGGTCTGGCTCTCATGGACTTGCTCTAATTCCCTTCCACGTCAGCTTGAACTTCCACGTGTGCCCTTGGTGGTCTGTCCCACAGCCAGCCCGGGCTGCACTTTCGTTACTAACGAGTGTCTCCGTGGCCTCTTCCCAGTCATGCCGCACTCAAGCCCGTGCCCCCCACGGCAGGCATTGGGTTGTTGGTGTGTTCTCCCCTGGGCACTCCACTCTCAGATGGCATCTGTTGGGTTTTGTCATGGGTTTGGTGGGAGGAGAGACTTCCTGTGACCCTGACCACTGTGCTTGTCTGACTTGGGGGTGGACAAGGACTTGAGTGAGTGAGTGGTCAGGATCTGTGGTACCCACAGACATCTCCTTCCCTCAGCATGTGGGGCGCTTTCTGGTGAGGCTTGAGGCTGATCTCATCGTGTCTGGCAGAAGAGAGGGTGGGGGGAAGAGGAAGACCGTCCACACCAGGCGGATCGACCCTGAACACAAGTGTTAACATCTTTCTGGTGGTGTCATGAGCTGAGACAACCACAGGGGTCCAGCGGTGGGGGACCAGGCAGTGTTTGCTTCTGTTGTGCGTGGGGTCGCTAAGGGCCGGGACCCTGAGTCCTTATCCCCTTGCCTCTGCTTGCTGAGAGCTAACTCTGTGGCCAGTGCAGGCCCTCGGCGGCGCTGGACCAGCCTCCTGCTCCTCGGCCTCCTCCGAGAGGGCCTGCATCACTGAGGGTGTGAGAAGCTGAGCTGAAATCACTGCTGGGAGCCCGAGCCGGCATTTCCTCAGAGCTCTCCCAGCCCTCACACACCTGCCTGCCCCTCCCTTCTTCCTGAAGTCTGTTCAGAGCCCAGTGCGTTTCCATCTCTCCCCACAACCTCCCTGCTGTCAGGAACGCGGTGCTTTCAGAAGCGGGAGAGCCGTCTTTGCCATCACAGAGGACGCCAGCTGCACGGTCAGCCAGCAGGGCTCGGCCATGCTCACAGCCCATCTTCCTGTTTTGGCGGGCCTGATGAGGGGGACTCTGCCTTTCTGCCTTGGATGTGCAGGCAACGTGCAGACGTCCCTGGCATGCTGCTTGCCCAGTCGTCCCTGGTCCCATCTGAAGCACTGGCCTCTCCGGTGATGCCTGACACCTGTGTCCACACGTGTTGCAGGGCCAGAACTGCTGTGTGACTGCACGTTTCACATAGCACGCCCACTGTTGTCCTCGGCTGTCCTCGGTACTGTCGCTCTTTGTCCCCTGAACTCTGTGCCCCTCCAGGGCCGGGAGGTGCCGGCCGGCGCTCAGGGCTCAGAGAGCGTGAGCGACTGGGTGGAGGCACAGATGCTTCACAGCCTGGGGGTCAGCCGTGTGCCCCTCCAGCTGTCTGTGCTCGTGGCATTTCGTGCAGGTGTGTCCTCGCGGTCTTTTTCTGTGGTTTGGTTTGCCCCACAGCGCTCTCCCAGGATTGAGTGTTAGCTGGGGGCCTCTGTGTCTCCTTTCACGCTGGTCTGCCCGGTGGGGCTGCCCCTTCGTGTGGCCGGTTACACCCGGGGCTCCCAGAGCTTGTGGGAAAGTTACACCGGCTTTCACCCCCCTTTTCCCACAAGCTCTGAGAGGCTCCCCCACAGGGCTCATTGTGGCTGAGGTGGGAGATGCGGTGGATCCTACGAATGTCCGTTTTAGAGCCAAGTGCACAGTGATGAGGCTAGAGGGCGGTGTGCCGGCAAGTGGCTGCGAGCATTGGGGCTGAGATTCATGTGTCGTGATGTGCCCTGCGATTCGACACGTGTTTTCCTTGCAGTAATTTCTGTTTCTCTCTCCCCATCTTGCCTCTGTGTAAGGAACCAGCCACAGCCAGCACAGAGTTAGGAAAGCGAGGCGGTTTCTGCCCCTGGTCTTCTGTTCCCACGAGCCTCCTCCTCCGGGTACTGCGCGCTCCTGTGCATGAAGCACCGGGATACTCACCTCCCCGAGCTCCGGGCGGCTCCTCGGCGGGCTCGTCTCTGACAGTCTCTGGGCTGACTGACTCCCTTCCTCCAGCTCCTTCCTCGAGCGGGGCTCTAAGGCAATCCTACTAGTTGGGAGCGGGGTCCTGTCTGATGGTCTCTGTGGGAGACGACTGCTCCACTGCTATTGGGTTTCACGCGCATGGCGGGTCGGTCAGAAAGCAGCTTCTGGATCGCCTGTGGTGTGGTCGCACTTGACCTCGGTGCTTTGCATCAGCTACCTCTAACAGCACGCACTTGAGGCACGTGGTCCGCAGTGTGGACACTGAGCTGTGGGCATGCTGCAGAAGACAGCTAGGCAGGCACCTGTGGCTGCTCCCTAGGGAAGCCGAGATGGGTGGTCATCCTGGGAATGGAGCAGCTGGCACGAGCCCTGGCCTGCAAGTACCATGTAGAGCAGGTCCCAGCCCCAGAGAGCTGCCTTCCCTGGTCATCGGCTAGTGTTTCCCTGCACAGAGGGAGCACCTCTGGTCCTCATTGTTCTCCTGACAGAGGCCGGGCCCCTCCCCTCCCTGGGAGAGAAGCAGATGACTTGTTCCCTGTCAGAAACCAGGATGCACCCTGTGCTACTGTGACTGCAGCAAGCGATACGGCGTGGCACAGTGACGGCATTACTGCTACTGCAGCGTCACCCCCACCCGGCACTGTGTAACGTGACGGCAGCTTGGCTCTTGCTGCAGTGTCCACGCTGTGCGAGGCTTGTGAGGCGCTGACAGACAGCCTAGACCTTGCTAAATGCCCTGCCCGGGAGTCAGCCAGCCAGCCAGTCACTGCAGCCTTTGATTTGGGGGTGTGGCCTGGGGGTGGTTTTCTTTGTTTTCTTGCACTTTGATCTGCCTGTCGTTTTAATAGTGTCTCCTCTCTCTTCCCTCTTTCCTGTTTTTCCCTCCCTCCCTCCCTCCCTCCCCGGCCCCGACTTTCTTTGCATGCCACCTGGATCTGCAGATGAAATTAGTGGGGACGGTAATACTTTATTTTCACATTTGTGTTGCTAATGTGGTATGACTTTTTAATTACTCAGTGATATGTCGCTCGGTGTTTAATGACAGGCACATGTGGGTTTGATCCCACAGAGTGAGCCCAAACGGTGTCAAAGAAAGCTCTGCACCGTCCTGAGAACATTGACAGAGGGACTGGGGGGTCTCCCTCACCCAGCTCTAGGAAATTGGCCATGTGTGGGGTGCACAGTGGATTCTCTAGGCTTCACTCCTGGAAGGTGAGAGAGTTCTGGAAAGATTGTCAGCTGAGAGTCACTCCAGAAGAGTGTCATTCCAGGAAGCAGGGATGACTGAGACCACCACAGCATGCTCCTCGAGTACAGTGACATCACGGTCCCTCCTGTGGGGCGAGCGGGCAGGGCGGAGGGCCTGCTAAGCCTGGCACACGCTGACTCAAGTGACGGCAGGGTCTGCTGAAGGCACGAAAAGTGGGCATGCGACATGCGTGCGCCACTTTGTGTCTGTCCCTGGTGCTCCCTGGCCTGCCTGCACCAGCTGTTGCTTCAGAGGACTAGAGCTGGGACACTGAAGTGAAGGGGAAGCCACCTCTCTCGTGACACATTTGGGGACACTTTTCCGGATGATTCCACCTCGGTTTTCATGGGGGGGAGGATGAGCACAGAGAAAGCGCTAAGGGCACGTGTTGAAGTCCTCTCTGGGACTGCCCCTGGGTGGTAGCCATTGGCTGGGAGCTCACTTGCTAGGAGCGGGTCCTCGGTGGCCCCGGGGCTGCTGAGGGGCCTGATCAGTGCAGCTGGAGGATGAGCAGCCCCACCCCCACCCCCCGCCTCCCCACTTCACACAGGACTCCGCCATGTCTCCTCCTTGACGTGGACACTGGGTGGCAGAGGAGCACCTCTGCGGGGGAAAGTGGCCGCACCACATTCCCCTCCCGTCACAGCAGGCATTAGCTGGGCGAGTGCTGTCTTCCACGTCTGTGAGCCATGTTCTCGGATGGCCATGCCTGTGCATCCACTCGTGCCTGTGGCTGCTCTCACGCGGTACCAGGCCACACCTGCGCTCCTGCTGCAGAGCAGAGTGGGCCCCTTGGCTCCTGGTCGGACTCTGGAAGCCACTGTGGTAGTCTCAGTGACCTCTTACAGCCACCTTCATCAGCAAGGAGTCTGGGGCTAGCCCACACGCCTGGTGGTAGCCACAAAAGTGGTCAAGGGGACAGATTGTCAAGAGGGAGTGACCACCGCTACATGGTCCCAGCCCTAACTGGAGGACATCTTCTGGCTTTTCAGCACCCGAGAAGGTTGAGGCTTGAGGACTCTGGGGCTCAGTGCAGGTCACTCC